GGTCCCCCCCTTATTGTTTTATTAGGGCCCCCACCCACCGCGCAGGGGTGGGGGCCAGGGGGGGAGGACAGTAGGTCCCCCCCCCTTATTGTTTTACTCGGGCCCCCACCCACTGCTCAGGGGTGGGGGCCAGGGGGGGAGGACAGTAGGTCCGTCCCCCCTTATTGTTTTACTGGGGCCCCCACCCACTGCTCAGGGGTGGGGGCCAGGGGGGGAGGACAGTAGGTCGCCCCCCCTTATTGTTTTATAAGGGCCCCCACCCACCGCGCATGGGTGGGGGCCAGAAGTTTCGCCCCCCATATCTTTATTTAGGGCCCCCACCGACCGCTCAGGGGTGGGGGCCGGGGGGAGGACAGTAGGTCCCCCCCCCTTATTGTTTTATTAGGGCCCCCACCCACCGCTCAGGGGTGGGGGCCAGGGGGGGAGGACAGTAGGTCCCCCCCCTCATTATCTTCATGGCCCCCACCCGCCGCTCAGGGTGGGGGAGGGGGGGAGGACAATAGGTCCGCCCCCCCTTATTGTAATTTATGTCATTTTTTTCAACAGTGAGCAGCCACAGGCGGTATAGCGAGTAGGGGCATTGGGGAGATTTTAATCTCCCTTGTGCTATTATGGGGGTCATATTGACCCCCATAGAGTGAGAAGGGGACCTGGGGGGGCTTATGAAGTGGTGGGGAGCACTGCTCCCTGCCGCTTCTATCTTTACATATTACAAGGAGGGAGCTGCGTGCCGGTAGCTCCCTCCTTGTAATAAACTGAACGAACAAACATACACTGATACATTGTGTTTGTTTGTTCGGCTGATATTTCTATTCACTCATTCGTCTGTCTGATGAATGAATGAATAGATGAAATTCCCGTTCGCATGTCCAGGTGTTTCACTGGGCATGTGCGGGAATCTCACAGTCTGTCTAGTGTGGGCTGATGACGTGTCCCAGAGGGACTTCATCTACCCACACAAAGATGGCGGCGCCCTGAATCAAGATCGGGGCAGAAAATAAGAATTAAAAAATAGGTTATGTGGGGGGCTTAGGGGCATTTGGGGGTGACTAGGGAGGGGGGTTAAAAAAAAACGAGATTCGGCATGACAGTGCCGCTTTAAGGTAACTAATAACTACTGCATACCAGAAACATCCCACAAGACTTGCCATTTTTGAGATGCTCTGACAGTGTCGTCTAGCCATCACTATTTGGTCCTTGTCAAAGTCACTCAGATAGTTTTGCTTGCCCATTTTTCCTGCTTCCAACACATGAAATTCAAAAACTGACTGTTCACTTGCTGCCTAATTTATCACACCCCTTGACAGGTGCCATTGTAACGATATAATCAATGTTATTCACTTCACCTGTCACCTGTGATTTTATTGTTGTGGCTGATAATATATATATATATATCTATTGTATATATCTATTTTATATATCTATTGTAAATATCAACCCTGTGACCTGAGAGTAAAAACAATTCTCTATTTTAGTAGGAATTTGCTAAAAAGCAAGTCAGTGCAATAGGCAAAGAGCCATTGGCAGTACAGCAGCATTGCCAATCAATGCCAGAAGCAGCCTAGCCAAATAGTTAAGCATCCATGCAAGCAGCTAACATAATTATAACTCAGTAGGAAAGCAAAATGCAAACCATTGAATGTAAAAAAGGCACAAAACGGCAAAATTATATTTGTCATTCTATGAATATATTCAGTGGTTTACTAGGAAAACTACATTGAGATCTAATTTTCAGATATATTTATGACTTGAGGACTCACATACACAACTATAAATGTATACATTTAAACATTTAAAAACAAATCATTAAACATTAGCATTGATTACAGTTATGTGCTTGATGATACAGGGAGAAAGACTGCATAAGAGATTTAAAAGTGGTAAGCATTTTATTTTAGAAGGTTGCAGAGATCTGTGGGGAAATGCTTCTTGATCACTTTGTAGTACTGAATAGCAAGTAAAGTGTTAGAAGGTGGGAAGATCGTAACCTTGTAGCTAATATAATCATGTAGATTCATCTCTTCAGTTTCTACCCCACTCTTAGTTCATCTCAGTTTATAACTACAATTACACAACAAGCCACCCACCACTGCCTCAATTTTTTCCCACAGACCTTTCTCACAAGCTTTAAGATTCATTTTGTCATGTTCTTGATTCCTATTCTCCTCATTTAAAAATTATTCCTTTCCTTCTGCTCATCTCCCTAGCTTCCTTCTTCCCTGTCCACCAATCTAATCATATTTAAAAGATCACTATAGGGTCAGGAACACAAACATGTATTCCTGACCCTATAGTGTTAAAACCAACATTTAGCCCCCCTGGGTCCCTCATGCCCGGTGGGCCGTGGCATCTGGGGGCTGCGCTGAGCATGTATGTGCCACCGGATGTCACTGTCACTAATGCTGAGGAGTGAAGGAGGAGGGAGGAGCATGTCTCTCTACCATGCTCCCTCGCGGTTCCCACAATTCCCAGCACAGCATGTGCTGGGGATTGTGGGAACCGCGAGGGAGCATGGTAGAGAGACATGCTCCTCCCTCCTCCTTCAGTGCTCACTCCTCACTCCTCAGCATTAGTGACAGTGACAGGAGTGCCGCCGGACCGGCGAGGCTGCCACCCAGCCAGGCAGCTCCAGCGTGGAATGCGGCTGGCCCCCCAGACTCCTCTCAGGTAAATGGGAGGTGGAAGAAGGGAATAAAGAGACACAAGGGGAGGGGGAAAATAAAACAGAGAGGGAATAGACACAGGGAAAAGAGGGAGAAAGAGACAGAGGGGGAAGAGTGAGACACAGGGGGAGAAAGAGGGGGAATAGAGAGATGGTGGAGGGAGAAAAAAGAGACAAAGGGGAAGAGAGATGTCGGGGAGAGAGAGAGACACAGGGAAAGGGGGAGAAAGAGACAGAGGGGACGAGAGATGTGGGGGAGAGACAGGGAAAGGGGGGGAAGGGAAAGAGGGGAAGAGAGAGACAGAGGGAGAAAGGAAAGAGACACACAAGGGAAGGGGGAGAAAGAGGCTGAGGGGACTGGGAAGGAGAGGGGAGACATAGACACAGAGGAGCAGTGAGGGGGAGAAAGAAACATACAGAGTGACTGTGGGGAGACAAAAAAGGCACACAGATGGGCTGGAGATAAAGAGACACACATAGGGGCTGTATATATCACTGGTGGATCTGGGGGGAGGCAACAGGGCAATTCCCCCCACCCATGAGGCTCTGCCAGCCGATCTCCCTCCCCGTTCCACAGGCACCGTGCGGCACACACTGCCCCCCATACACACACTGCCCCCCATACACACACACTGCCCCCGCACACATTGCCCCCCACACACATGCACAGCCCCCATACACACATTGCTGCACACATACACAGCCCCCCATACACACATTGCCCACACACCCTACACATTCACACACTACACCTCCCCACTCACACACATACACTGAACCTTTCACGCACACTGCACCCCTCACACATTGCACCACTGCTCCTATACCCTACTACAGCCCCATATGCCAGCAGACTCCAGGTAAGTTGTCAAACTGTTCTTAAATGGTTTGACTACTTACTCTGGGAGGGGATCCCGGCACTCCTTGCACCATAACCACTACACAGAGCAGTAGTGGTTATTGTGCATGGATTATTTC